AACCTGCTTATTAAAAAGTTGACTTCCATCTTTCTGTTCTACTCAGGTGTTATTTCTGCTCCCACAGAAATGTCATTGTTACCTTTTTCATGGAATGTTTGAAATCTGTTATGGTTAGTTAACTTATGGCTACCTAGTTTCTATCCATAGGATATGTCTGACCACCTGTGATTTCTAAATTAATTCATTTTCTCTTTCTCAGACCTCTACAGGTATGGCTTTTCTGAGGTGAAAAGGATAGGTGTAGGGAATATGGTAGGTGCAGCCCATGTCAGAAGAAAACCTTTTAGGGAAATGGTAGGCATCAGAAATGTATTTGTTGATATATCAAGGTTTTTTTATTTGTGCTTAATCCTTCTAAACAGAAACTTTGAACTATTATGTAAGCAATTCAGTCCAATTATACTTTTATATATTCTTTGAGTGCTTACTAGGCTGGGTCCTGGCTACAGAGTGATGAACAAGGGAGATCTTTTTGTGGCACTGACGGACTTACCAGCATAGTGAGAGTAACAACCAATAAACAAATTTAAAATACCCAACTTACAAATGTTGATGCTACAAAGAGAAAGAACAGAGAATGTGAGAGCGTGTAATGATGTATAGGATTATCTAGATTAAGTTGGTGGTTAAGGTCTCTCAGACCCACAGACTGGGATTAAAAAGGAACAAGACATGAATTTTATGACTTCTGCACAACTTATTTAACCTCTTTGAGCCACAATTTTCTCATCTGAAATGTGGAAATAATTATAGGGTTCCTGTGAGGATGAATGAGATAATGAATAAAGTGTTTAGCCTGTAAACACTCATCCCTAAATGAGTGGTAGTCATATATAATGTTAATGGTAGACATGGTATGGGGAATGAACTTTAGGGGAAGGACTAGAATGCAAACAGTTCAGTAAGGGAACTGTTGCAATAGGCAATAGGGTTGATGACAGTAGCCTGGATTAGGATGGTGATAGTAGAAGTGAAGCTAGATTAGAGAGCATTTTACATGGAAGGAAGGATCACCTGGATTTTTATTGTCCATGGAGGAAATACAGTGGCAAGATTCAGAATTGCTCCCTAATTTTCACCTTGAGTGTCTGGGAGAGGAGTCAGAGCACTGACTGAAAAGGGAAGCACAGACTCAGGAATGAATCACTAATCTCACATCCCTGTGAGACAGGAACCACAAATATGTCTACATTGAAGGGGAGAGAAATTGGCAACACAAAGGGAGCAAACTGCCCACAAGTAGATAACAATAGAGCCAGAGTCATAGAGAGACAGAGAGATGGAGAGAAAGAGACAGGGACAGAGAGACAGAGAAAGAGAGACACAGAGATGGAGTGGGGGAACAGAGAGAAGGAGAATACTCTGATTTTATTCCTTCTTTCCAGCATTTTCTTGTTGGTGGCTTCTTAGCTTCTCTTTTCATATATTTCAGAAATGACACAATTGTCCACAGCAAGCTAAATGCTCCCCCTCTCTGAGAGTCTACATTTCTGCTTAACCTCAAAATAATACTTCTGCCTTGTCTCATCATGGGGATTTTACATTTAATGGTCACTAAGAAGCTTTGGTGGGGGGACCTTCTTACCGTCTCTTCAGATTGAAGCAGAAAAGAGGTTTTTGGAAGGAAGCCATGCAAATCTCTAAGCTCACAATGAACTGTGAATTGCAGAGGCATAAGAACCTACAGCGGGTGGGGCGGGGGTGGAACAAAGGTATGAACTTGACCACTAGCTTGCTGTTTTCGCATAATTGGGCTCCATTTTTTAACAATGAGGTATTAACAGAACATTCCCCTTTAGTAACTGAAACTTTCTACACCAGTGAAGCAAAACAATTCGCCATTTCTTTAAGTGCTAAAGTGGAAGTGTGACTGGACGAGGGTAGGGTTATGAACAATTCTCAGTTCTTGAAATTGTAATGCACTGATGCTCTTTCTTTGCTCTTTCACAGCCTGTGTGTGGACAATAGATGATAGTAGAAGCAGTGCCAATACTGCAATCAAAGTAGGTGTTGAGATGGGAACTGTGTTGCATAAGTAAGGACAGGTGCTTAGTTCTACTCTGACTGACTAACTAGAGGAATTCTAGTGCTATGTGATTATGAGTTCCTACTATGGGATTAGAATGGTTCTACCACAATGTGCTCTTCAAGTGTCACAGTGAAATTGAAATAATATATTTTGTAGCAACATGGATGGAGTTGGAGGCCATTATTCTAAGCGAAGTAACACAGGAGTGGAAAGCCAAAAACCAGGTGTTCTCACTTATAAGTGGGACCTAAGCTATGAGCATGCAAAGGCATGTGGAGTGATAGCTAAGACAGCCTTATTCAACTAAGTAGTCCGTCCTAGTCAGGGAGAGGAAATACCACAGGCTTCAGAGCAAGCCAGGAACGATAGTAAATCTTATCTTTACCATTTTTTGCTTTGCTATTTAAAGCAATTTATTGAATGTCTCTGAAGCTCAGTTTTTTAAATCTAGATCATAGGGTGGTAATAGTTCCTACATCATAGAATGGTTGTGAAAACTGAATTAAATAATATGCTTGAAAACTTCCATTACAGATTCTGGGATACATCCTTGATGGTCACAACATAATAATTATTTCCTATCTTTCTACCTGTGAGTGCCCCTTCTACCCTCCATCCTAAGTAACACATATATAAGCAAAATGACTGCCTATTTAAGACATATAACGAATAAGAGGGCAAACAGGGGAAGAAATAGAACGGGGGGAAAGTAAAAGTATTATTTACAGTAATAGCAGCTCATAACATCCACACTCTTTTATCTGTAAATTCATCGCTTGAGACTCTTTTTTTTTTTTTTTTTGAGACAGAGTTTCGCTCCTGTTACCCAGGCTGGAGTGCAATGGCGTGATCTCGGCTCACCACAACCTCCGCCTCCTGGATTCAGGCAATTCTTCTGCCGCAGCCTCCTGAGTAGCTGGGATTACAGGCATGCGCCGCCATGCCCAGCTAATTTTTTGTATTTTGAGTAGAGACGGTGTTTCACCATGTTGACCAGGATGGTCTCGATCTCTTGACCTTGTGATCCAACTGCCTCGGCCTCCCAAAGTGCTGGGATTACAGGCTTGAGCCACCCACGCCAGGCCCCAAGGCTCTGTTTTTGTTATCACAAATCTATTTCCTGGAGCAGGACTTAATGCTATCTAGGAAGCCATTCTGCTACTCACGGGGAGAATCTAAAACCGGGTTACTCCTTTGTTTTTTGTAAACTTACTTCAAGCAAAACAAAACAAAATAAAAACAATAAACAACAAAAACACTTCCCCATCTGAGAAACAAGCTCAGAACGTTATTTTTTTCCACTTCTAGCTTGAAATACAATAAACATTCCTGCAACATGCACAGAAGTTATGTTTGTGAACTTTGTCTTAGGGAGAAAAACAAAGATGAGGAGAAGGGTATACATGAAGGCAAGGCCCCTTGTCCTCCCATTTCAAGTCTCAGATCTTCCATTAATAGCTGTGTGGCCATTATAATCTCTTCTCTCTGGGCCTTGCTTCTCTCTCTATTATGTGGAGGCTGAATTTAATGATTTCCAAAGGTCCTTCCCAGTCTGAAATTCTACAAGATAGTTAAAGCAAAATGAGGAATCTGTTGCTCTCCTTACCATTCTTATGTGCAGGCAATCAGCATAATTCCATGCCCAGCCTCTGATAATCTCTAAAGATTATGCTACTCTCTATATACCTTAATATAATACATAATAAAATAATACTAAATCATAAAATATGATTAAGAAATTCCAAAAAGAAGGAATCTCATCATATTGATTAATGAATAAAGAAAGCATTACATTTTGAACCATCTTCAAAAAGTGGTTTTAGTGATCCTGTTTTGTGAGTGACCAAAGCAGTGTTCATTGTGACTGTTGGATAACTTGCCATGTCAGTGTTGCCACAGCAGTGCAGGATTCTACTTAGTGGTAGAATTGATTTTTTCCCCTTCAAGATTTTCAAGAAGGAAAATACTCTATTTCAGCCTATAAAATCATGTATTATTAGAGCGTTATTATGTAAATTTGGATATCCAAGCCTAGGGAGAGAGACAAACTGCAGGATAACCTCAGAGTCACAAGCTATTATGATAGAATAATGAGACCACATTCTCAGGTCTTGAAAATCAGCCAGGACACTGACAATGCAGGCTTTTGGAGGTAGGACCATTTTCCAAGTGCAGGGGTTTCAAGATAAGAAGTCTGGGGCAGGAAACGGTGGCTCATGCCTGTAATCCCAGCACTTTGGGAGGCTGAGGAGGGCGGATCATGAGGTCAGGAGATCGAGACTATCTTGCCTAACATGGTGAAACCCTGGCTCTAGTAAAAGCACAAAAAATTAACCAGGTGTGGTCGCACACAGCTGTAGTCCCAGCTACTCAGGAGGCTGAGGCAGAAGAATCGCTTGAATCCCAGAGGCAGACATTGCAGCGAGCCAAGATTGTGCCACTGCACTCCAGCATGGGTGACAGAGCAAGACTCTGTCTCAAAAAAAAAAAAAACAAGAATCAGCAGCAGTAACCAGGACCCAATGGGCAAAATGGCAGACAAAGGACAGGCAAGGGAACATAAAAGGTGTGCCTGAATTTCTGCCATTGCAATTAGTTGTGAGTAGTATTCATTCTAACCAGAGCTTTGGACAAGATGAATTTGGAGGCAAAATAAATATACTCGAATGCTATACTGTTTTTGCTGTGGTGAGAATAAAAGATTTGCTATTTCAAGACATTTTTGCCTGCAAAAATACAACTTAGAGAATCTAGGAGGGCAGTTGTGGCCAATTTTATGGTTCCTTAACTATTACATAGGGTGACTTGGATCAATACTGTATCTTCTTTGAGCCTTAATTGTTTATATGTAAACAGGTCTCTTCTAATTATAATACTCTGTGCCTCCATAAGTATAAAAGAGAGATCTAGGTGTTAGGTAATGAACTAACTAACCATTATACTCTTTATTTTGTTTTGATTTGGACAGGAACTGTAAATCCATGGCTTACTTTGACGAATATACTGAAACATTCAAGATGCGCAGCAACAGTACCAGCACTGCTGAGACTTACTGCAATGTCACTAATGTGAAATTTCAGTACTCCCTCTATGCAACCACCTATATCCTCATTTTCATTCCTGGTATTCTGGCTAACAGTGCAGCCTTGTGGGTTCTATGCCGCTTCATCAGCAACAAAAATAAAGCCATAATTTTCATGATCAACCTCTCTGTGGCTGACCTTGCTCACGTATTATCTCTACCGCTCCGGATTTACTATTACATCAGCCACCACTGGCCTTTCCAGAGAGCCCTTTGCCTGCTCTGCTTCTACCTAAAGTATCTCAACATGTATGCCAGCATTTGTTTCCTGACGTGCATCAGTCTTCAGAGGTGTTTTTTTCTTCTCAAGCCCTTCAGGGCCAGAGACTGGAAACGTAGGTATGATATGGGCATCAGTGCTGCCATCTGGATCATTGTGGGGACTGCCTGTTTGCCATTTCCCATCCTGAGAAGCACAGACTTAGAGAACAACAACAAGTCCTGTTTTGCTGATCTTGGATACAAGCAAATGAATGCAGTTGCATTGGTCGGGATGATTACAGTTGCTGAGCTTGCAGGATTTGTGATCCCAGTCATCATCATCGCATGGTGTACCTGGAAAACTACTATATCCTTGAGACAGCCACCAGTGGCTTTCCAAGGGATCAGTGAGAGGCAAAAAGCAGTGCGGATGGTGTTCATGTGTGCTGCAGTCTTTTTCATTTGCTTCACTCCTTATCATATTAACTTCATTTTTTACACCCTGGTAAAGGAAACCATCATTAGCAATTGTCCCATTGTCCAAATGACACTGTATTTCCACCCTTTTTGCCTGTGCCTTGCAAGTGTCTGCTGCCTTTTGGATCCAATTCTTTATTACTTTATGGCCTCAGAGTTTCGTGACCAACTATCACGCCATAGCAGTTCTGTGACCCGCTCCCGCCTCATGAGCAGAGAGAGTGGTTCTTCAATGATTGGTTAAAATTAAAATGTCTCTTTAATTATAACTTTGTTTACCTACGTTCTTTGTCTTCTTTCAAAGGCCAGAATTGCCAATCAGTTTCTTTATATGGACCTTGTAAACAGCAGAAAGAAGTGTTTGCTTGTGTGATATTCATAGTCACAGGGGTGTGATGATGAAGGCAGAGTGTGAAAAATGTAAGAGAGGAAGAGAAAATAGGTTTATTTGCCTCCTCTTTGAAATTCAAGACACTTTCTTATTTATGAAACCTAGATCAAGTTTTTACAGATATAAATAAAAGTCGAATAGTTTCCCTTAATTTTTTTCAATAAGTTATTGTTAATAATGCACAGTAAATACATGAAATTTTCCTAGTATGTAAAAAATAACTGTCATATAAACACCTTTATTTCTGAGTGAAAGTAAAATGTCTAGTCTTTCTAACAGGTAAATTTTTCTAACAGGAAAGACAGTGTGAAGAATTGAAGCAGTATGTGCATACATTTCAGAACCACAAACCTGTTACTAAAGAAAAGGCATGGAAATACGTTCATTCCTTGAAAATGTGTTGGATGCCTGTTGTGCTCTGGGTTGTCACTTTGTTAGGTACTTCGTTTTTTTTTTTTCATATGTTGTTGGGGTACAGGTGGTATTTGATTTTATGAGTAAGTTATATAGTGGTGATTTGTGAGATTTGGGTGCATCCAATACTGGAGCAATGTACACTGCACCATATTTGTAGTTTTCAATCCCTCGTCACCCTCCCACTCTTCCACATATAACATCTCATCTGGCCCTCCTCATAAACCTGTGTAAGTTGCCAATACAAATGAATAAATGGAGCCTCAGAGAGGTTAAGCAATTTGTCTCAGGATCAACAGTGGTTAGCCAAAATTGGTCAAGTATAATACATCACAAATGCTTATGTTATTCCCTTGTTTTGTTGTTATATTTATTAGGTCTATAATAAATTAATTCTCAATGATGAAGACTCAGACTAAAGCTAAACCAATTGAGATCCAGGGCATTTCAACATGATTTGCCTGGAATCTCTAAAAAATCTGTATGTTGTGGCTTTGGCATGTCAAGCTTCAGGTTGCAAGGTCTTAAGTGGTAAATGGATGTGTTGTCTTAATATTGTTCTAAGATACAGAATCCTGATGATAAGGAGTATAGAAACTCAAATAATTCAATATTTCTAAAAAAATATGTATTTTAAGGCATGATACAGGTCGTACAAACCCCATAAGTAGATTTAAAAAAACCCCCTACAAAATAGAGTGATAAACATTCTATAAAATGTTGAAATGTGTTTGGAGTTCATCTAAGCTTACTTTTCCTAAATAATACTATATAGTATTGTACACAAATTTATTTTTGAAACGTTTAGGAAGATTTCTGTGAGCATTACTGACAATATCTCCATTAGAAGCAAAAAGTATTATTACATCATAAATACAAGAAAAGTATATGTGCTCTTTCTGGCAGTCTTTTTATCTTTTTTTTTTTTTTCAAATGTTATGGGTGTTGTTTCAGCATCATTTTAAAAAATTTGAATACAAACAATCCCTCAGATTATCAGGTTGAAATGTATGAAGCTCACCTCATCACTCTTATCTTTTATGTCTTCAATATAAATAACATAGACATTTGTTGTGCAAGGAGGAAAAAGGAAATAGTAGTTCTGAGAATATTCATTTGAATAGAGTGGCTGTGGAAGAATGAATAACAAAAAGAGAGATTTTTTTTAAAGATCTCTCACTGGGAAAAGAAAGAGTTATGCAATTATAAAGTAATCAAACTGGTTTTTCTTGTACTTTATTAATCTGAATCTAATGACACTTCCTTAGGAGGGTTTCCAGATGTGCTTGTAGTTAATGGCAACATTATCATACTGACTACATAGACAGGCCTATTCTAAGGAGATGACTTTGGAAAAAACCTATTTGGAACTCCACATTCTGCTACGTCTGTGGAGAAATGGAACCCCAGTTCTTAAGAGTCACACTTTATATTCCCTACTTTCAAGTGGTTGACAAAAGGTCGTGCTTGAAGCACAAGTTGTATGGAATAGTGAGCCAATTAAACAACATGCTTTTTTTTTTAACTACCATTTAATTGGAATCTTTGAGCTTTTTCTGACATGTGAATTGCAATGTAGTGAGAGAGAAAAACGTAAAACCATTCGAGAAATTGACAATCAGTTCTTTAATTTTAAAGGGGATATCTTACATAATGCCAAAAGAAAAGGTGACCGTGCTTCAGCTGATGATATAGCAGTGCAAGAAATCAGTGAAATTGCTTTAAGGTATTACAATAAACAACAATTTAAAAAATTATTCCTATGCTTGTCACAATGACATAATTTGAGCCAAACAAAACATCAAAACATATATCCTTTAATTAGTTTTTCAAAAAGTCAAAACTAAAGCTAAACATTGCCCCCCAAATCTCTGCAAGGCACTTAGCAAAATCCACACAGAATCCATTCAGAATCTCATAATGCTAATTTTACTGATGAAACACTGTTTAAACTTCTGATAGTTTTGGTAAAAATGGGAAGGAATTCAGTAAAAATGGGAGAAAACATAACCTTTGTAACAATTTATGTGAGCTTAAATGCCATTTATGCATAATCAGATATGCTGTTTCTCTTTACATTTTAAAATAACTTAAAGAGGGTTATTGGTTAGCCAGGCATGGTGGTGTGCAACTGTAGTCCCATCTACTTGGGAAGTTGAGGTGGGAGAACCACTTGAACCCGGGAGATGATGTCAGTGAGCTGAGACTGTACCACTGCACTACATCCTGGGTGACACAGCAAGACTCCATCTCAAAAAAAATAAGTGTTATTGGATTTTTTGTAACTCAAAGGACAAATGCCTGAAGGGATGGATGCCTCATTCTCTATGCTGAGCTTATTTCACACTGCATGTCTGTATCAAAACATCTCATGTACCCCATAAACATATACACCTACTATGCACCCACAAAATAAAATACAAAAGCTTTAAATACTACCACAGATTATAGGTATAGCATTTGCCACTTATCAAATGAATTACCATTATAAAGTAGGTATTCTGAAGACTGTACAAGAATTATAGTGCCAGCTTCTGCTTCTTGCGAGACCCTCGGGAAGCTTATAATTATGATGGAAGGTGAATAGAGAGCAGGCATGTCACATTGTAAGAGAGGCAGCAAGAGAGAGTGAAGAAAAAGGTGCTACACTCTTTTAAACAAACATCTTGCATGAAATCATAGAGTGAGAACCCACTTATTACCTTGAAGACAGATCAAGTCATTCATGAGGAATCTGCTCCATGAACCAAACACCTCCCTGCATGCCCACCTCCACCATTAGAGGTCACATTTCAGCATGAGTTTTAAAGAGGATGAAACATTTCTACAATATCAGCACTAAATACAGAGGAAGAGTAAGCCTTCTTATTGGAAATCCTTCTGTGTTAGGGGTGGAAAGAGAAAAAAGCTAAGGAGTGCCTAGTACTGAGTAACATAGCTTGGCTAGAAATATAGAAAGGAGCAGTAATTAACAAGGCTGTAAACGTTAGAAGTTTAGAATATAAAGGGCCTTAAATGTCAGGTATATAATTTGTACTTTTGTGTGGTGAGGTGAGGCAAGATGGATCATAAAAATAGTGGAGATAAAAAAGCTTATACAGATCTTGAGAAACAATGATATGGCATGGCATAATAACACGGGCAAAAGCCTGCTGGCAAGTAAACACTATTGCTTACTCCTTCATTTTGAGATTTGGATTATCTAGATGATTTCACAGACATACACATGAATTATAAGAAACGTACAACAGGAATAGCTGTCATTTATTGAATCCAACTATTTGAGGGGCTTTACATGGATCATCATATTTAATTTTCTTTGTTTTCTATTTTTTTTTGACAGAGTCTTGCTCTGTCACCCAGGCTAGAGGTTGGAGTGCAGTGGAGTGATCTCAGCTCACTACAACCTCCACCTCCCAGGCTCAAGCAATTCTCCTGCCTCAGCCTCCCGAGTAGTTGGGACTATAGGTGAGCGCCACCACACATGGCTAATTTTTTAAATTTTTAGCAGAGACAGGGTTTCAATATGTTGACCAGGCTTGTCTTGAACTCCTGACCTCAGGTGACCTGCCCACCTCAGCCTCCCAAAGTGCTAGGATTATGGGCATAAGCCACCACACTCAGCCAGGGCATCATATTTAATTTCACAATCCCATGAGGTAGATACTATAATTAATCCCACTTTTAAGATGTAAAACACATATAGATAGTTTAAGTAACTTTTTCAAGAATACACAGCTAATAGATGATAATGTCAGGATTTTTAACTCTGAAAATCGGAATCCAGAACTCATGTACTTAAGATGGTATTATTGGCCTACGTATTACTATAATACAATAAATTTCATGGGAAATGTTCATACTTTAAAAATGCTCTTCCCTAGTATCCAACATAACTATACATTTTAATTGTATAGTTATGATACTTGTGTTGTATTTTTTTTTATTTTCCAACATTCTAAAACTTTGTGCACAACTATAACTTGTCAATTTACAATACAATTTTTTAAAAAATAAACTAAAAATTTTAAACCCTCATTTTATTACACTCCTCTTTATAAATGCTTATTCTAGTCTCTCGTATGATTGCAAAGTTAAGGATAAATGCGAATAAATATAGTATGGATGGCCTCAGCCATAAGTACACATATTTTTATTTGTAAAAACTAGAAAAAGACATTGAAATATTAAAATTCGCAACAATTGAGAGATCTGATTATAGATAATTATTATTTTCTACTTTAAATTTTTCTGATTTTTCAAAACGTTTTTGGTAAGCATATTATTTTAATCAGAAAGTGATAAATATTATAAAGCATGAGTAGACAATTAGACAAAGAAAAAATACAATTGCTTCAGAACAAACAAAGGTTTTAAATAAATTTAAAAATCCAATAGGCAAAAGAAATGTTTGGCAGACATTAAATTACATAAAATGGGAGTGTACGTTTTGCAACATCCATGAAATTTTTATAAACATTGATTATATGCTAGGTAATAAAGGCTCAGATGCAAATAGGAGGAATTATGCATATGATATTACACAAACAAAATTAGAATTACCAAAAATGTAAATATTAGAAAATTTAAAAGGACACATGTTGATTACAACATGAGATAAAAAATTTTAAAATACTGTGGTAAATCTAATGCCAATAAGTTTGAAAATCTTACTGAAATGGATGACTTCTGTGTCAAAGAATTATCAAAATAAAGCAAGAATAGAAAATTTGAATAATTGACTACATAAGAATTTTTCTTTTGAGTTACAGTCTGCTCTAGAATTTATTTTTTATAATTTTAATCTCATTTTGAATTTTAGATTCAAGAGAGTCAGAAGTGCATGTGCTGGTTTGTCCCATGGGTATATTTCATGATGCTGAAGTTTGAGCTTCTGTTCATCTTACCAACTAAACAGTGAACATAGTATTCAGTAGGTAATTTTTCAACCATTGCCCTATTCTCTCTCTCCTCCCTTTTTGAGTCTCTGGTATCAGCTGACCTAATCTTTATGTCCATGTGTACTCAATGATTAGCTCCCGTTTATAAGTGAGAATATAAAGTATTTGTTTTTTCTGTTTCTTATAAATTCACTTAAGTTAATGGCCTCCAGCTGCATCTCTGTTGCCAAGGAGGACATGCTATTTTTTGTGGCTGTGTAGTATTCCATATACAGTTTCTTTATCCAATCGACTATTGATAAGCACTTAGTTTAATTCTATTTCTTTGCTATTTTAATAGTGCTGCAGTAAACGTGTGAGTACAGGTGTCTTTTCGTTAAAATGATGTATTTTCCTGTGGGCACATACCCAGTCATGGGATTGCTAGGTTGAATGGCATTCTATGTTTAGCTCTTTGAGAAATCTAGATATTGTTTTCTATAGTGGTTTTTATTATTTGCTTTTCCTCCCACAGTTTATGTGTTCCTTTTTTACAAATTCCATACCAGCATATATTGTTTTGAACTTTTAATTATAGCCATTCTGACTTTTGTGAGATGAAATCTTACTATAATTTTGATTTACAATAATGTGATGATTAGTGCTGTTGAGCAGTTTTTCATGTGTGTGTTGGTTACTCATATGCCTTATTTTGAGAAGTGTCTGTTGATATATTTTGCCTATGTTTTAATGGGGTTATCTATAGTTTTCTTGTTGATTTATTCAAGTTTCTTGTAGATTCTGGATATTAGTCCTTTGTTAAATGCATACTTGCATTCTTCTCCCATTCTGTAGATTATATGTTTGCTTATAGTTTTGTTGTTGTTGTTGTTTGTTTGCTTCTTTTGTGTATAGAGCTTTTGGTTTGATTAAGTCTCAATTGTCATTTCTTTTTTCATTTTTTCTTCATTTGCTTTTTGAGGATTGGTCATAAATTATTTGCCTGGGACAATGTTCAGAAGAGTATTTTCTACTTTTTCTTCTATCATTTTTATAGCTTGAGGCCTTATTAAATTCTTTAATCTATCTTGAGTTAATTTTTGTATGTGGTAGGAAGTAGAGGTCTAGCTTTATTCTTCTGCACTATTTATTAAATAGGGTATTGTTTCACTAGTGTTTATTTGTGTCAACTTCATCAAAGATCAGTTGGTGTGGGTGTGTGTATTTAATTCTGGGTTCTCTATTTGGTTTCATTGGTCAATGTGTCTTTTTTTTGTACCAATATCATGCTGTTTTGTTTCTGTCACCTTGTAGAGTAGTTTAAAATTGGGAAATGTGATGCCTCTGTTTTGTTCTTTTTGCCTAGGACTGTTTGGCTATGTGGGTTCTTGATTGTTTACATATTAATTTTAGATTTTTTTCTAATTGTGTAAAAAATGATGCCTGTAGTTTGCTAGGAATAGTATTGACTGTACAAATTGCTTTAGGATATTTTAATGATATTAATTCTTCCAATTAATGAGCATCAAATGTTTTTGCATTTGTTTGTATCATGTATGATTTCTTTCAGTAGTGTTTTGTAGTTGTCTTTGTAATGATCATTCACCTTCTTGGTTAAATGTATTCCTAGCTATTTATTATTATTTGGCTATTACAAATGGGTTTACCTTCTTGATTTGCTGTTCAGCTTCAAAGATACTAATGAATAAAAATGATAATAATTTTTGTACATTTGTTTATTAACCTCAAAACTTTACCGAAGTCATTTATCAGGTCTAGGAAACTTTTGGCAAAATTATTAGGATTTTCTGGGCATAGAATCATATCATTAGTGAAGAGAAATAATTTGACTTCCTCTTTTCCAATTTGGATGCCTTTTATTTCTTCTTCTTGGCTGATTTCTCTCAGTAGGAATTCCAGCACTATATTCAATAAGAGTGGTGAGAGTGGACAGCCTTGCCTTATTTCATTTCCTTGAAACAATGCTTCCAACTTTGCCCATTCACTATGATGTTGGTTGTGGGTTTGTCTCAGATGGCTCTTATTCTTTTGAGGTATCTTCCTTTGATGTTTAGTTTTTTTAAATGTTTTTAACATAAAGGATTATAGATTTTACTAAATGCTTTCTGTATCTATTGAAAAGATTTTACAGCTTTTGTTTTTAATTCTGTTTATGTGATGATTCACAATTATTGACCTGCCTATGTGGAACCATCCTTGCATCCAGGAAAAAAAGCCTACTTGCTCATGGTAAATTACTATATTAGACCATTTTTACATTGCTGTTAATATAAAGAAATATCTGAGACCAGGTAATTTATAAGGAAAACAGGTTTAATTTGCTCACAGTTCTGCAGGTCACAGAGGAATCGTGATGCTAGCATCTGCTCAACTTCTGGAAAGGCCTCAGAAAACTTATAATCATGGCAGAAGGCAAAGAGGAAACAGGCACATCACATGGCCAGAGCAGGAGCAAGAGAGAGGAAGGGGCAGGTACTGCACACTTTTAAATGACCAGGTCTCACTAAAACTCACTCACTATTGTGAGTGACACTATAGTGACCACTATATTGGTGTCACTAAAGGCAATGGTGTCAAACCATGAGAAATAATCCCCATGATTCAATCATCTCCCACTAGGCCTCACCTTCAACACTGAGGATTGCAATTCAAAATGAAATTGTGTGGAGATGAAAATACAAATCATATAATTCCATCCCTGCCCCTCTAAATATCAAGTTATTTTCACATTGCAAAATATAATCATGCCTTTTCAATAGTTTCCCAAAGTCTTAGTCATTCTAGCATTAACTCGAAAGTTCAAAATCTAATGCTTCATCTGAGATAAGGCTGGTCTCTTCCACCTATGAAAATGTAATATTAAAAACAAGTTAGTTACTTCCAAGGCAAGATAGGGTACAGATATTGAATATCATTCCAAAACGAAAAATGTCAAAAGGGGCTAAATGTTCCATGCGAGTCCTAAATCCAGTAGAGCACTCATTAAATATTAAAGCTCCAAAATGATAGCCTTTGACTTCATTTCCCACATTAAGGACACACTGGTACAAGCAGTGGGCTTATAAGGCCTTGGGCATCTCTGTACCTGTGGCTTTCCAGGGTTCAGCCCTGGAGGCTGCTCACACAGTTGTTGAATCACTGCAACTTTTCCATGCCGAGGTTGCCAGCTGTCAGTAGATTGCTAAGACTTAGATTCCCAAGACTCATCCACTCTTGTACTCTGTTCATCAACAGGTTTAACATCATATGGTAACCTCCAATGCTTATGTCAGTCTTTGTCCCCTGGAGCTATAGCCCAAACTGTATCTGGGCCCCATCTAGCTGATGCTGGAGCCAGAATGGTTGGGATGTGAACAGTGTCTTGACACTGTGCAGGGCAGCCA